TTAAGTGATGTTGGTGCTGTTTTCTCTATCGACTTCATTATGATCACATGTACTGAATGTAAACCCATGACAGCAGATAATCCTGCATTACTGACTGCTGCTGGTGTTCCTGTTGAGAATAAGAGGTGAATCTGTCATTTATACTGTTGATCATCAGTGTACAGCATTAACACACACACACACACACACACACACACACACACACACACACACACACACACACACACACACACACAGAGAGACACACAGAACCTTTTTTGTACTGTAACTGATGAACAACAGTAAAATGACTCACTTTACTTCCTAACAGGAACACCAGCAGCAGTCAGTAATGCAGGATTATCTGCCGTCATGACTTTACAATCAATACATGTGATTATAATGAGGCAAAACCAGACACTGACACTGCCAACACAAGTGTATTGTTGAAGACTGCTGAAGATTATCAAAGCAATTTCCCAAAACATGTTTCAGCAAATGTGATGGTTTTTGATGACAAATCTGATTTTTACTCAGAGAATTATGTGGTCAAATTAAGCCAAATCAGCCCAGAGTGGATTAAAACAAGCCAACAGCACACAAGAGTTAATGAATCTCTCATCTTAAATCTCTTTATTTTCATTTCAGAGGGAGCAGGTAAAGAAAAGACAGACAGATCACACTACAGACACATGTAGACTCCAGAGTTTACACTTTAAGCAAAACAGATTTTATTTATTCAGTTAACTATTAACTATATTAACTATTATTTACTTCACAAGAACTATAAAGAAAATCAAAACACTTAAATTTTTAAACACTCAGTCTTGACAGTAACCTGTTCTGCATTATATTGAGGCACACTGTTTAGTTTTAGTGCAGTCAGGAATAATAAAGGATGTGCTGTACACTATCAATAATAAAGGACTTGATCAATACAGATCAAACACTTGCTCTTAATCAATACAGCAGATTAAAGTCTGTACTAAAGAAAGGCAGTGTGCAGTGTCCAGACTAAGAGTGAATGTAAATGTCCATCAGAGTAAATGCAGCAGTGTTTACCTGTGCTGAGTGTCCAGAAGATGAGCAGCAGAAACAGAGGACTCCTATCAGCCATTCTGTGTGTCTGACACTCGTCTTCTGCTTTATATATATATATATATATATATATATGTTGAGCTCTTGTTTAAACAGCAGCAGCTCTTCCTGTGCTTCTGCAGCTTCCTCTCAGATCAGCCTCACTCTTTGTCTTCCTGACACTACACCAGTTTATAGTGGACAACTGTGTGTTTCTGTTGATCATTAAAGATGCTCTGAGCGACTTTCACCAAACACTTTTGACCACAGTGTCCCAAAACACACTTCAGCCAATCAGCAGAGAGGGGCGTGTCTAGTGACTCTAGCGTATCAAAGGGGGCGTGGTTCTATCTGCCAATTTCCTCCAAGATATGAGAGGCTGAAAACACTGATTCAAGAGGAGACATGACGATGAGACACTCGATAATAACACACACACACACACACACACACACACACACACACACACACACACACTGTAGCACGGGGGAGAGGCGAGAGGTGAATCCAGTCATAGGGGCTCTCGACTAGCCGCTGATTCTGTCTTTATATTCTGCTCTGTGTTTGTCATGAAGTCAGCTCAATGCAGGTTGCAGGTTTTGTATGTAAATCTGACTCTGATGGCGACTCTGCCTCTACAGTTGTGTAAAACTCTCAGTGGTTTATCATGAACTTTTCATCGATCATTTTCCCGAGATTGACGGCAAAAACGAGCGCAGACAAGCAGCAGCTACATGTGACATGTAAAAACGCCAAATAGGATGAATCTGTGCCGCATTTTCTAAACGTACTCTCTGTATTTAGCTGTTGGCTTGTACAGTGGCTCTAAACTGTCAAAACACCTCTGATAAAGGCTTTATCGGACATGACGTATTTGTACATGTGTACATCACTGTAACATGTTTTATTCATGACCATTTGAGCTGGTTTCAGTCCTTAGCTTTCATTTTCATCTTATTTAAATATATTTATCTTGCTTGTTAATTAAATACCATTTTGTTATTTAAACTATTATTTTTATGCAACAATCAACTTGCATGTTGATTTGCTATGAACAAAAGGAAATAATTTTTTGCATGCTGATTTATGTGAAATCGTGAATAATATAGGTCTATAATCACCTTGCAATTTCCAAGTTATAGCTTTGCTTTTACTTTGAGTATAGACTATTCAGTTCATAAGAGCAGTTCAATCTTTTATGAAGTTTGCTGTATAAAAATACAACAATTTAAAATATTTATAATTATTGGGCTATACATATCGGCTACCGGCCTCCAAGTCTTATTAAAGTATTATCGGTTATCGGTATCGGCAAAAAATCCATATCGGTGCTTCCCTAATTTATATACCAGTAATAACACTTACAGTGGGGCAAAATGGCATTTAGACAGCCACTAATTGTGCAAGTTCTTCCACTTTAAAAGATGAGAAAGGCCTGTAATTTACACCACAGGTAAACCTCAACTATAAAAAAATTAAAAATATAATAAAATAAGAAAAATAAAATCTGAAAATCACATTGTAGGATGTTTAAAGAATTTATTTGCTAATGATGGGGAAAACTAAGTATTTGGTCCACAACAAATTTTCACCTCAATACTTTGTTATATACCTTTTGCTGGCAATGACAGAGGTTAAACATTTTCAGTAAGTCTTGAAAGGGTTTCCACACACTCTTGCTGGTATTTGGGTCCATTCCTCCACGCAGATCTAAGACAATATTTAGGTGACGTCAGCACATTATTTGTATTTTGCATTTTGTGTTGTTCATGCAGTCTTGTGTCACTGCCAGAGCTGCCAGATCCTCTTCCTGAGTCTCCAGAGAGGGTGCCAGATCCTCCTGAAATCCCAGAATAGTGTGCACCAGATCCTCCTGAACACGCTAAATGGTGGGCGCCAGATCCTCTTAAATTCCTTAAATAGTGGGGCACCAGATCCACCTGAATTCCTTGAATGGGGGTGCCAGATCCTCCTAAATTCTCAGAATGGTGGGTGCCAAATCCTGCTAAATCCCCTGAATGATGGGCGCCAGATCCTCCTGAATTCCCAGTATGACCAGAGCCTCCATCTGATTCCCACGAATGGCTGTCATATCCATGTGTCTTCCCAGTGCCGCCGGAGCTGTGTGACCATCCAGTGCCGCCAGAGCTGTGTGAACCACCAGTGTCTCCTGACCCACTGGGGTTATATGAACTACCAGTGCCTCCTGACTAACTAAGGTCATATGAATGGTCAATGCATGCTGATCTGAATCTTTGTGCTCCAGTCTTTCCGTGCTCCAGGCCCTTCGCAGCTCCATGCTTCAGGCACTCCTCCACTGCATGATCCTGGCCCTCCGTCCCTTCACCTGTTCTGCCTCTGCTCCACCTCCATCTTGACCTGTGTTTGAAGCATCTGGAAGCCACCTTTATAGGGGGGCTCTGTCACAATCACCAGCGATCTAGTCCATACAGTCCACATAGTTCTCACTGGAGAACTGAAATCCTGTCACCATATGGACTACAAATCCTGTCATGCACCTCACACACACCAGTTCTGGTTTTTCGTTGACTAAAACAAAAGGAGCTGCTTATGGATTGATTACACGCACACACTTCTGGCAGAGTTTTGTTCACTGTTTACCTGTAACATTACAAAGTGTTATCCTATTCTAGTCTTTCCGTGCCTTTTGACCCTTTTCCTATCGTTGTTTTCGCCGCCTGTCCTGACCGTTCACTTGTTTTTGACTACACTTCTGGATTACCCTTGACACTGTTTGTACCTGTTTGACCATTGCCTGCCTGACTACTCTTGTGTAATAAACTGCATGTGGATCCTCAACTCTGTTGTTCAGCATCCCACAGTTACAGACATCAATACCTGTGCTCAAAATGACCTCTCTGCATTTCAGTCTTGATCAGTTCAGCATTTATTTTATAATAACAAACTAAAGACAGATGAAGAACAAGCAGATATACAGACAGATGTACAGTAGAATAGTGAGAGCTGTTGTTGAAGTGTTGATGAAGCAGAGCTTTCTGAAAGATGAACAGAGACTCAGAGCTGCTGTGTAGAGTTGGAGAATCATTGATCCATTAAAGATCATTAAAGATCATCACTGATTTTAGACCCTTTTTAAGTCCACCAGAGAAGAAGAATACTTGTGTTGCTGATCGCTTCAGCTCAGTGTAGTTTGATGAATCTGCTGTAAAATGGCAGATGAAGAGCTTTGTGGTGATTATTAAAGCACTGACAGTGGTCCACACTCAGTGCTCTACTTAGGGCCCCTAGAAGTCTAGCATCAGCTCTGAGACACAGTGTTAGTTTAATGCTGTTTGTTCTTCCTCTTTCTGTGTTTCTGCTTTGTGTTCTCAGAAAACCCCACGCCAGGAGTTTATATTGAGAAGACTTTAACACATATGTAGTCTGGTTTGCTGGAGCGTGTGGGTAAATATGTGTGAAACCAGTGTGGTAAAAATAACTAAGTGTAGACACGCAAAAACAACAGGAGTAAACCACAAGAGTGAGATCACAGCTCTGAAAATCTAATGCACATTTAATGCACAATATCAGGATAATGTGTTTAATAATCACTAAATATGTATAAAACTATTAAAACTGCTAATAATAAACATGTTCAAATCAGATTAAGTGTCTGAAAAGAGTTTTAAAAGACTGTAAAAGCACATATAAACAGTGTCAGTCAGCTCACTCGTCATCATTTACTCTAAACACAGAGCTGAAACTACCATAGAGAAGGAGCACACTGTGCTTTAATGAGCTTTATGGGTTCATTCTTCAGATAATATTAGTGAAGGTTACAGAAGACCATGCTCTGTGTGTGAACAGATTACTGTGTAGATTTGCTGAAAGATTTCCCTGTCTACAGTTGTCGACAATAATGTCGACAATGACATTATTAACTTTAGAGTGAAATGAAGGAGGAAATCTGAAGCTGAGCTGATTGGCTGAAGTGTGTTGAGTTGTCCACTATAAACTGGTGTAGTGTCAGGAAGACAAAGAGTGAGGCTGATCTGAGAGGAAGCTGCAGAAGCACAGGAAGAGCGGCTGCTGTTTAAACAAGAGCTCAACATATATATATATATATATATAAAGCAGAAGACGAGTGTCAGACACACAGAATGGCTGATAGGAGTCCTCTGTTTCTGCTGCTCATCTTCTGGACACTCAGCACAGGTAAACACTGCTGTTCATCATCTACAAGATTATAAACTCAGCACTTCAGCTCATTATTCTGGCTGTTTTAGGAGGCTGTGATGTTTGCAGTAATGGATTGTCAGTCAGTGTGTGACTCTGGACCCCAGTGTCTTATGATGCAGCGGCAGAGTTTAGACAACATTTAGAAAATCATTTATTGGGTCAAAATATCATGAAGATTGTTTAAATTAATTTACTACTGTAAAAATTTCTAATCTTATATTATTGTGAGTAATTTGCATTTCTAAGCACTTTATTTTGACAACTTTAAAGGTGATTTTCTCAATATTTAGATTTTTAGATCTCTCAGACTCCAGATGTTAATCAGTTGTTTCACAGGCAAATGTTGTCCTGTTATAACAAAACACAGATCAACGGCTAAAAATAAAAATAAAAATACACACATATATGTATATATCTTATCAATGGCTAAAAATAAACACACACACACATATATATATGTATATATATATTTGCTTTTAAAAACTAAATTAGACCCTTATGACCCAATGTCTTTTAAACTCTGATGTAAGTTTAATATTTACAATATTTACAACAGTTATAGGCGACGCGGTGGCGTATTAGGTAGGAAGGGGCATCCGCTGCTTAAAACATATGCTGGATAAGTTGGCGGTTCATTCCGCTGTGGCGACCCCAGAATAATAAAAGAAAATGAATTAATTAATTATTGAACAGCAGTTTATATGATGGTATATTTCTTAAAATATGTACATTTTGGAGAAACATTATATGCGCTGAGATGTCTGAGATGTACTGCTTTTATTAGTTATCATGCAGTAAAATATGACATTAAATGTGTTTCAGGTGTGTTTGGAGCAAAAGACACTGATGTGTTCAGCAGATATGGAGAAACTGTTCATCTGCCCTGTAGAAACACTGATCAGCACTGCAGAACAACAGAAACTGACTGGCTCTACAACAGAAACACACAGACATGGACAGACACACTGATTAAGTCAGGAGTAAATGAGAGAAACTCAGAGAGACTGAATCTGGGCTCTGACTGCTCTCTGATCATCAGTAGAGTCACAACAGGAGATGCTGTAAGTTACATCTGCAGACAGTGGAGAGGAGACCACACATATGGAGCTGATTCACGTGTGTTTCTGCATGTTGTTGCTGGTAATTTCCTCCTCATGTGTTCAGTTTAATCAGGGCTGAATTCTGTGTTTCAGCTCATGATTAGTGATTTGTGTCTTCTGTTCACTTTCAGTCTCTCCATCATCATCATCATCATCATCATCATCTTCATCTGATATTGGTCCGGGTCTCTCTCTGACTCTCTCCTGTCGGCTGTTCTCATATTTTGCACGTTCCTGTGGTGATCTGTTCAGTTCTGAGGATCTTCATCTGTCCTGGGTGGATGAGGCTGGTGTTGATCTGAACACAGACTCCAGATATCAGATCTCTTCTACAGGCTGTATCATCAGTCTGTCTACAACATTCATCAGTGAAGATGAAGATAAACAGTGGAGATGTGGAGTCTATCAGAGAAATCAACTGAAGACCTCAGACACGTTTACTGTCCACTATTCAGGTCAGAGAATCATCAGACACTTTAACACTCACATTATCATCACTGAACCACAGTATAGAGAATCATTTCTTAGACAAATGTCATTAACTGGGACATTATATAATTAACTCAAATATTTACAATCATTAAAACCTGTAAATTAAAATATAAATTTATCCATTATCATGTTATACAGTATAAAGTTCTAAACTAACCTTCATCCTTTACAGCTCAAACAGCTCCATCAGTGAGTCCAGATCACAACACAAACTGTGAAGATCCACAAAGTCCAAACCCAGCAGGATCTTCTACAGCAGGTCTGATCTCATGTGTACACTACTTAAAATATTTCTGTCATATTGTGTGGTTAAACAGCAGTGACTCCAGCGCTCCTCACAACACCAGCAGGAGCTGCTACAGCACGTTCATCATCACTGCTTCATCTGTGTTTTATAGTCTACAATACTGGAGTTATCTTGTGTGTTGACTAGTTAGATTATGATTCTCATGTTCTGCAGTGTGATGTACATTCACCTTCATCTTCTACAGCTGGAGCTCAAACAACATCAGCAGTGACTCCAGACCACAACACAAACACAACTATAAACCCAGCAGGAGCTTCAGCAACAGGTACATGATGATGATGAAGATGATGATGATGATGATGATGATGATGATGATGATGATGAAGATGATGATGAAGATGATGCTGATGAAGATGTTGATGATGATGAAGATGATGATGATGATGATGATGATGAAGATGTTGATGTTGATGATGATGATGATGATTATGAAGATGTTGATGATGATGATGATGATGATGATGATGATGATGATGATGAGCTGAATCTGTTTCTCAGGATGATGATGGTAATGACTCAGTGACTTACGCCGCCGTCAGCAGAAGAGCTTAATGTGTGCAGAAGAAGAAAAAGAGCCTTCAGGAATAAAGATCAACACAAACAGGCAGAAATCACAGCAGCATCACTGCAGCATTTCAGGAGCACAAGTTTCCCTCAAATGCGCAGATTCAGGACTTTAGTGTGGAGAATTGGAGAGATTTAGAGCAGAACAAACACAGCTGGAATATTACTGCACTGGAAAGAGGACAAAGCAGCTGTTCTGAAGGAGAGAAAGAAAGAAAGAAAGAAAGAAAGAAAGAAAGAAAGAAAGAAAGAAAGAAAGAAAGAAAGAAAGAGAGAAAGAAAGAAAGAAAGAAAGAAAGAAAGAAAGAAAGAAAGAAAGAGAGAAAGAAAGAAAGAAAGAAAGAAAGAAAGAAAGAAAGAGAGAAAGAAAGAAAGAAAGAAAGAAAGAAAGAAAGAAAGAAAGAAAGAAAGAAAGAAAGAAAAAAAGAGAGCAGGAAAATAGGCTGTGTTTGTGGAGGAAAGAGAAGACTGCAGTGGGAGAATTACAGCACTGTCTGTTTGTGTTACAACTTACAATCATCATCTTCATTTGTCTCTTCAACTCATTTGAGGCCCAGTTTTGTCATGTCTTGCTTTATAGAAATGTCTTTTTCATTTGGCACATGATCTCCAACATCATCTCCATGTATCTAGACTGTATTTGAGCTCCATTCCTTCATGTTGAATCTGCTTTATTTGTGTGCAGGCAGAGATATAAAGCCCTACTTTGCTTTCTACATCACATTAAAAGTACTAAAGTGATCTGATGCTTCTGGAGCAATATTTGACTTCATGTTTGGGAGAATCAAATGTCAAACTAAGAGTCCAATAATGCTTAATTAAAGCTTAATGTGGTGTTGTTCACTTCATCTGTGGATTGAGGCTCGCTCTTTACAGTGTTTACTGTTAATTACAGGTAAAGTGTGACAGAAATGTGGGTTTCTCTGCTTGTTTAGGGACATTAAGACACATGAAGTGTTTTATAATGTCTCCTTTAAATGAGTTAAATGATTGAGCTTGGGTTTGTGTCTTGATTTCAGTTGTGTTTATTGGTTTATAGTAATATGTTGTGTGATTTGTGTTTGTGTATTGGTTATTAAGCTGGACTTCTGATATAAACACTGATGTGAAGCAAATAAATCCTCAATAAAGTGCTTCAGTGACCCTACATTACATCTCTAGATTGTCTTTCATTTCATTTCAGCGCTTTGTGTTTTTCTTTCTGATCATTATGTTGTGACTATTTGAGGGACTTTTATTTTGACACTTCCTGTAGGCCCCATATAAAGAGGAAGGCCTGTGTGATTGTGGAGGGAAACACTGTTTGGACTGGAGCACTAGCTGTGTTTGTGAGCTGTTTCTGGACATCTTTGACTCTTTCTCTTAGACTCTATTGATGGACGATTCTGTCATGGATTTGAATGGGAATATTGGGGCTTTTGATCATGTTTGGGAGGATTTTTGGACACATTCTTCATTGGTGTTTGAGTAAACTAATCTCCTCAGGCTCTTCACTGGACGTCTTGATGAAGGATTATTGATCAACTCAACTGGACAATCAGGTCAGTTCTGTTGCTTTAGTTGATGACTGTAATATATTGATGTGTGTGTGTGTGTGTGTGTGTGTGTGTGTGTGTGTGTGTGTGTGTGTGTGTGTGTGTGTGTGTGTGTGTGTGTGTGTGTGTGTGTGTGTGTGTGTGTTTCTCAGTCTGACCGCTAGATGTCAGTGAAGCCGCGCTGAAGTCTCGATGAGGACTGAGATTAAACAGCAAACTCAGCATTTCCTCCCTCATTTAGACAATCCTGCAGAAATAAACACATTTCAGCCTTTACTCTTGCTTTATTGTTGGACTGGTGAATTTACAGCACTTTTATACTGGTTTCACGGCTCAATTTCTGCAATATCAGCGAGTTTTTAAAGCTATCGGCCTATTGGAGACAGTGAAAGTCAGGGAATTTCAGTCATGGAGAATAGTTTATTGTTTATTTGTCAGTTTCAGTTTGCATTTAAAAGACATTTATAGCTTTATTGTTGAGCAAATCTGCTGTGTCGAGGGTATTTTCAGCTCCATTATTGATTTGATGCTCATCAACTGGCAGTCACTGGAGTCAAATGCAGACACTGAACCTGTTAACTAAGGCTAAATATTCACTAAACCAGAGTTAATGTGTGTTTACCATGCTCAGCTGTGCTAACCCCTGATTAACTGTGCTTTTACAACACCAAACAGAGTTTTACCATGGTATTTGTAGTAAAACTGTGCTGATAAAATGAGTCAATGTGGCAGAAAAACCTGCTTAGTGAAATGGACTATTAATAAAAGCTGGTGAATTGTTGTTATCAGTGAGTCTCAAACACACTCAGAAGAGCTGAAGAGTCTTACCGTACGTTCACACCGAAAGCGGCGAGAGCGTCAAAGTAGCCGGAAGTCATTCATTTTCAATGAGAGCCGGCGGCGATAGGCGTCGATAAGCGGCGAGGAGCAGCGCGGCGCGTCTTCGCCGGCGTGAGCGTCGAGGAGAGTTGAAATGAAGTCAACTTTATGGTAATGAGCTATGACGCGGTTCGGCGGCAAGCAATCAGAATGAAGACGTCCACCGCTTGATAGCAGTTCAGAGAACACAGACCTGTGAACTTTGGTTCCGACCACAGTTGTTCCCAAGGGTTTGTTTATTGCGGTCGCCGGATTTCCCATTATTTACAATGTTTTCTTACAGGAACATGCATTAAATAAGTTACTGACGAGTTACTGATGTTCATTAATGTTATATAAATTTATCTTTAAAAAGCGGGAATCTCACGCGATGTGACAGTACAAAACAGTACTGCTGCTTCAGGATATTTCAGACATATGGACACATATTGGATAAATAGAGCAAAGGCACACCACATGCAACTTGATCTTCCATTGTTGTATGAATTTGATAAGAAGTGCGCAACATTTTCACGCTAAAAACATGTCTTTATGCAGGAATGTAACTGATATGCTGCAATGGCTCCTTTAAGTACGAGATCAATGTAGCGAGTTTTGACGCTCTCGCCGCAGGAGCTGAAGGCAGAGAGCGTTGTCGCCAGGGCGGCCAGAGCGACCTTGGACGCTCTCGCCGCTTTCGGTGTGAACGTACGGTTAATGGAGCCTTTGTTATTATCGAGTGTCTCATCGTCATGTCTGCTCTTGAATCAGTGTTTTCAGCCTCTCATATCTTGGAGGAAATTTGCAGATAGAACCACGCCCCCTTTGATACGCTAGAGTCACTAGACACGCCCCTCTCTGCTGATTGGCTGAAGTGTGTTTTGGGACACTGTGGTCAAAAGTGTTTGGTGAAAGTCGCTCAGAGCATCTTTAATGATCAACAGAAACACACAGTTGTCCACTATAAACTGGTGTAGTGTCAGGAAGACAAAGAGTGAGGCTGATCTGAGAGGAAGCTGCAGAAGCACAGGAAGAGCTGCTGCTGTTTAAACAAGAGCTCAACATATATATATATATATAAAGCAGAAGACGAGTGTCAGACACACAGAATGGCTGATAGGAGTCCTCTGTTTCTGCTGCTCATCTTCTGGACACTCAGCACAGGTAAACACTGCTGCATTTACTCTGATGGACATTTACATTCACTCTTAGTCTGGACACTGCACACTGCCTTTCTTTAGTACAGACTTTAATCACAACCTTTAGAAGTCCTCTATGGTTGGCGTCATGTCTTCACAGGACTTGGATCGCATCAATGGCGCTGCACATCTCTAGAGGCCTCAGGATGAGAATCTCCAGGTGGAAAAAAACACAAGGAAACTATAAGCGTAGCTGCTGTTCATAGTGTATTTAAACAAGAGATATTACATATATAAACAAACATGTACAGCGTATGAGAGTTTTTTTACACAATGTCTGGTGCATTAAGACAGGGGGAGTGTGTCCTACTGGTGGTTTGTCAAGCCCACTCACCTGCGTGGAGCACACTCGTTCATCATGCGGTTATGTGATGCTTGTGTGTGTACTTTACTAAAGAGATCAGTCTTTAATCTAGTGTTGAACTGAGAGAGTGTGTCTGAGCCTTGGACATTATCAGGAAGGCTATTCCAGAGTGTAGGAGTCATAAAGGAGAAGACCCTTCTCAAATACATCAGCTCTGAAATTATGTGATGGATGATGTTTATGGATTTTGCTGTTCTTGTGAAATGCTGGAAAAGTGCTTAAATGTACTTTGTAAACCCTGTAAATAATTTATAGCAAATTGATTTGCAGGTTTGTTTGGAGAAGAAGAGACTCACGTGTTCGGCAGTTCTGGAGAAACTGTTCATCTGCCCTGTAGAAACACTGATCAGCTCTGCAGAACATCAGGAACTGACTGGCTCTACATGAGTTACAGAGACTCAAAGACGGCTGAACTGATTAGTTTAGGGTTAAATGAGAGAAACTCAGAGAGACTGAATCTGGGCTCTGACCATCAGTAGAGTGACAACAGAAGATGCTGGACTTTACACCTGCAGACAGTGGAGTGGAGACTCTGATTCAGCTGTGTATCTGCATGTTGTTGCTGGTAATTTCCTCCTCATGTGTTCAGTTTAATCAGGGCTGAATTCTGTGTTTCAGCTCATGATTAGTGATTTGTGTCTTCTGTTCAGTTTCAGTCTCTCCATCATCATCATCATCATCATCATCATCATCATCATCATCTTCATCTGATATTGGTCCGGGTCTCTCTCTGACTCTCTCCTGTCGGCTGTATTCAGATTCTGGATTCTCCTGTGAAAGTTTGTTCAGTTCTGAGGATCTTCATCTGTCCTGGTTGGATGAGGCTGGTGTTGATCTGAACACAGACTCCAGATATCAGATCTCTTCTACAGGCTGTATCATCAGTCTGTCTACAACACTCATCAGTGAAGATGAAGATAAACAGTGGAGATGTGGAGTCTATCAGAGAAATCAACTGAAGACCTCAGACACGTTTACTGTCCACTATTCAGGTCAGAGACACATCAGATCTCCAAAGATTTTTTCAAGGGTGTAAGAAAGTAAATGATGGGTAGACAAGCTCTTTGTAGGGAGAAAGTCAACCGAAACTATCTCTGAGGTGTTTAGTTCATTGAGCCTATTCTTATTCATTCATTCATTTTCCTTCAGCTTAGTCCCTTTATTCATCAGGGGTCGCCACAGCAGAATGAACCGCCAACAATTCCAGCATATGTTTTACACAGCGGATGCCCTTTCAGCTGCAAAACAATAGTGGGAAACACCCATACACACATATACACACACACACACACACACACACACACACACACACACACTATGGCCAATTTAGTTAATCAATTTCCCTATGTGTTTGGACTGTGGGGAAAACCGGAGCATACAATTTAACTGAATGTAGAAATTGAATAGCTATGATGATGTCTTCAGTGGAGTGCGTCCACCACCGTTCAGTTATTCCACTTATAAAGTCCATCATGTGAATAACAAATGCGCCATGATAGACACAACTGACTTTTAAAGAGAGTGAGAGCCGAGACTCTGGTTGGTTTAATACACATTATGCTCAAAACACACCAATAACTTATAAAGAGAATAATCACAACCCTGATGGACCATGAGCCAGGCCTTTAATCTGTCATCAAAATAGCAGAAGTGGATTCAGACACAGCCTTAGTGCTTTTGCACCATCTGCTGCAGAGATCACACTTAGATTGTTGAAATAGAGCCCATACAGTATCTTTTTATATTTATATATATGAAAAATAAGATCATGCCATTGACAAAACCATTAATCCTGCATCATCAGTGTAATTGTAGAGTAAATGCATTCACACCACCTCTGAGCTGATGACTTCAATAATCTATAGTGGGTCATTAATGAGACAATTTTATTCAGTGAATAACTGAGACATTCTATAATGAACTAGATGAAATATTTAATGTCTTGAAAACTCTAATCTGAAATAAATTAAACTGTGATCAAATTATAGAGTATAATGATCCACAAAGTCCAAACCCAGCAGGATCTTCTACAGCAGGTCTGATCTGTGTGTTGATCACTTCTGTGCTTTATAGTGGGCAATACTGGAGTTGTCTTGTGTGTTGACTAGTTCTACTGTGATTGTCATGTTGTCCAGTGTGATTTATCAGAGCTAATGTTGATGTTTTACAGCTAAAGCTGAAGCAGAGACATTCTGTGTGATTAAACAGCAGTGACTCCAGCGCTCTTCACAACACCAGCAGCAGCTTCAGCTCAGTCGTCACACTCCTCTGCTGTTATGTTTGAGTTAGTTTCAGCAGCTTGTTTTTATGTCTAATTGTCGATAACCAAGTCCAGCTAACTGAGTATAGTACCCACATACAAAGAACGGAGCCCTGCTCTATATTGTGTTTATTGCTGATCAGGGCCTGCAGCAGTCAGGGGGCGGAGCTACAGAATCAGTGTGATAAAGTCTGTAATATTAACTGTGTGATATCATTAATTAACATTGTGCTTTAATCCATTTCCTCATCAGTCTGGCTTCATATGATAAATGAAAGATGAATTTGACTGTGATTGTTACAACTTGCTTTGTCTGTCAATAAATTTCCTTTAGTGGAAACTCTAGACTGTGTTCATCATTTAATTGGGTGCTGGAGAAAAATAAAACATGTGAGACCTGTGAAACAGACCTCATGGACTAAAGTCTTCCTTAGTGCTCTGTGTTTGCTGTCTGGGTTATTTTCTTTATTAAACTGTAAATAAATGCATGATATGATTCATATAGTGCTGATTAGCAGCCTCCACCAAACGCTTCTACATTACACTCTAACATATACTGGGTTGTTTCAGTGTTGGGTCAAATGTAGACAAATCCAGCACTGGGTTAATGTTTTAAACGAGATTGTAGTGTTTGTGGGTCTGCCCACATTTGACCCAGCATTGTGTTACAACAACCCAACATGTTTAAGAGTGCACTCTGGGTTTCAGGAGCGCTGCATGATTTACACTGACAGTGATTGTAATTATCACAGACCCAGAGCTCCATGGCGAACCTGACATGTTTAATGTGAACTTCATTCAGTAACACTGAAACATCAGAAACACTGATGATTAATCTGCTCAATAACCCTGTAAATACTGAACACATCTATATCCAACACATTGAATTGAATTTATTGAATGGGATAGCCCCTTGAAATGAATCATCTCATTTTCGAGGGGGTCCCTAAAAAGTTCATAAATCAAACAGAGTACAACATAACGTTTTCAAAATGTTACGGGAACCAACTTAGAATGTTATTTTTTGTTCTAAATGTTAGAGACAGAGAGAGCTTAATCAATAAAATGTTATTAAAATTGGCTTTATTGGCAGAAAACAAAGCATTTGTCAAACAATTTAATTTTTATATGCTGTTTCTGTTTGTGTGCATCTCTTAGTCACTTTCTCTATCGTCCAGTTGTCTTTCTGCTTCCTGAAACAAAGCACAAATAACAATATTTTACAAATAAGTTCACTTTGTATTTAAGTTTTTTTGATTTGCTATTTAAACAAAGTGATGCAAAACGGGAAAATTATGGTTGCACTGGTCTGGAAATAGCAACACATTGCGGCTAACACGTCTTGCGCCTTATTGCGCCAGGTGTATGTTAGGGCCCTCAGTGTCACTTGATCGAGACCTGCTTGAAGAGGTGGTCTCAGTACGGTTTCAAACAAACCCTGGAGGTTAGTGGTGAGAATATGATTCGTACTAAAACAGGCCCAACCGCAAAAAGGATTGCGTCTTTTGGACTAATCCAGCTGCCGTAGGCCGATGCGCTGTGCATTATTTGATATGGAGGAAAAATATTTGTTGACAGCGCTTTACCAACAGAGAGAGAAGGAGAGAGAGAGACAGAGAGGGGAAAACCCTAAAAAACATGTATAATTTGTCTAAAGCAGGCATATAATCAGCCAGTGCAGTCGTCCCTTCATAGTAAAAAGTGGCATTTTGTGTCTGCCGGTTTGTTTACTTGCGGGAGTTCATTGGCATTTTTCCACATGTGAATTCTGACCAATCAAAAAGCAGTTTAGGAAATATGTTCAACAACATCTGGCCAATGAGAGATGTGGATTTTGTCAGATGATTGCATTTCGGTTCTTTTTAACTGGTTCGGACTAAAGCCAACAATGTGGTAAGAAAACGACCCAAAGATGGAATTAAATGCAACAATGTATCATTTATTGCCCTTGGTCCAGACCAAATGAAGCAAACTACAGATAAAGCACCCTAAATCTCTTCTATTCTGTTGTGGGGGTAATTGTGTCAGTCCTGAAATCACAAAGCACTTTTTAAAATCAATATTTAACTTTACTGTGAAAGTATGTTCTAACGTTCCTGCTGGAAAAACAGCTTAAAACAGTCAAAGTTTTGTTAACTGGTTTAAGCTGTTTTTTCACAAGGGGTTTTAATTTATTTTTGACAGTACAGTGGATATTTTAGGCTAAATATACTAGACTACCTCCAATTAAACATTGACGAAAAACTTTCATCTACACATAAAGATGCAATTAAAAGCCAAAACTTTTATAAACACGAGCTCACTACGTTAGCCTAACGCTAGCGTTACCTATGCTAAGGTGCTAACCATCTGTATAAAATAAATATTTGACAGAAATATGTAAATTACCAGTAAGAAAAGAGTCAGGAACATTTGTATGTAATATTTCAGTGCTTTTAGGGACTAAACTTACCTGAAATTGGTGAAAACAGCCACATGACCAGTTCTGTTGACAGCCAGAATGAGTGCCGTTTCTTAGGGTTCTTCAAATGAGTTCGCGAATCAGATTAGAATGTCTGGATGAGCTGATCTGAGATCTGTGTGTGTTGTGAAGGACAGATCTATCCATCCTCGAAATCATGATCAGCAATGCAGCGATTGGCTGACGGCACAGCAGCATGATGACATCATCTGATTAATATTCAATTATCCATGTGAGTAAAATTACATCAAACTAGCAGTAAACCGTTTGTTAAATATGACACACGATAACCTTCCACATTTGTTGTGAGCTGCAGGCTTTACACTTTCATGTGTCGAGAGTATTCATCATGTATTTCAATGCATATCAGTGTATTTAGTTCTACATATAGAAAAGATTTTCTTTATTATAGTAGCCGGTTTTTAATCGGTGTAAAGAATAACTGGTTGTTAAAAAAAAAGCGTTTTCATATTGGTAAAGGCGTCTGCAACTTTTGTGAAGCATCAAATCACCGTCATATTAACTGTCAAAACATGTTTATGACTGCATAAATGCATTATTGCTTTAAAAAAGTCACATATTCTGCATTTCTATTATACACAATTTGCACTAAAGCTATCTAAAAAGTTCATTTCAATAAGTTTTCTCTTTGCACCACCAGGTGGCAGTCTTTGTACTTTCATTTCGAGGGTGCAGATTGCATACGTTTTATTAATATATATATTACTTTATTAATTTTATTAATAACTATAACTTTATATATATAGTTAAAAAATATTTACTATTTTCCCAAGTGTATATAACTACTACTGTAGGAAAATATCAGAATTCAGCACATACTTTCAGTATTTTCTTTGCTTGAACTGAGCTGATCTAATCCTGTTTATATGAATTGAACCTGCTCCCGACCAGGTTTGACCTAGCAGAACTGTTGCTATGACAACAACTCTCGGATCAGCTTTGAAGAACGAAACGATCCTGGATCGTGTCAAATCGTCAACATCCAAATCCAGCTAACTGAGTAATCCACGTACGAAGAACAGACCCCAGATCAATGCTTTGAATCACTTTAATCACGTGACCAGGTGTTTTGAAACACTTTGGTCACGTGACCTGGGTGTTTCGGGTCATGCTTCGGTGCAGTTTAGAAACACTTGCGCTTCGAGATCTCGACACTGTGTCGAAACGTCAGTTTCACGTTAGCCATCCCTAGCTATTAGAATACGCTTATTTCACGCGGCCGCCATTTTAAAAAAGCCAAAGCTAGGCTGCGGTGGGAAGAAACCCGGAAGTATAGGACCAGCACTGTAAACACTGCAGTAACATGCTGTACACTACAAACCTCCGGCTGTTGCCGAGATTTCAAAATGCAGAAATGGTGTAAACATCACTTTAATATTATTCAGTAAGGTTATTATAAACAATTAAAAACTATTTAGCATTAAACAACATCACAATCTCTGTAAGAGTAATACGATTAAGTTTCCTCCTAGATTTTAGTTCATGGCACCAGTTAAACACCGTGGGGATGCTTTTGACGGTTTTTCTTTAAATTCAGTATCGTGACAAGTCTAATATAGTGAAAGAATCAGTTCATTAACTCGAGTTTGATAAATGGCATCTAAAACGTGTGTTTGGGAAAGAAAACGTTAGCTAACTAATGCCATTTCCCTTAACTTAGCTGAAAATGAGCTCTGATATCCCTTTTTATTTTTACCATTCATTCAGAACGGACCTTCGGGTAACTCGGAAGGCGATGAAATGATAAATTTGTGTCATTTTCTCTTCGCTGATAAGATATACAGCCAGGTACACAATGTTGCTATGTAACTCCCAACGATACTTCCGGGTTTCTTCCCACTGCAACCTCGATTTTGCTTTTAATAATGGCGGCCGCGTGAAATCAGTCTATTAGTGCTGCGGTACGAAGTTTGCTTTCACTTTCAAATGGCCATAAAAACACACCTTTTTTGCATTTTAGTCTGCGATGTCAGAAAGGTTCTCTTTGTACCGTTATTATGTTTCCATAGAATGACCAAAACAGAACATCCTCTTAAAGTCATATTCAAAACGTTATTATATGACTAAAGGAGAACCATGTGAAAACGTTCTGTTAATGTTAGAAAAGTTCTCTTTGTAATGTTATTATGCGACCATAGAATGACCAAAACAGAACATCCTCTTAAAGTCATATTCAAAACGTTGTTTTATGATTAAAAGAGAACGTTTTAAGAACATCCCTAATGTTTTGTAAAGGTTCTGGACTTTTGTTACCTTTAGGGAACTTTTAGGGAACGTTGCGCAAAGTCGCGACTACGCCTACTACCTGGGATATTCTCTAAATATTCTACATGTTTGTTAATAACATTGTTTGTTTTCTTTTTTGTTTCCAAAAATAAAACACTCTCTATAACCATTTAACATATTCAATTTTACAGTAGCAATGTGGAAAAAAGTTTAAAGCATTGCATTTTCTTATATTCTAGTGCTCATTGTATAACGTGTAACAAATTAAACAAAAAAAAAAGAAAACAATTTTAAAAATCTGGTATATTAAACAGGAATAATATTGCTGACACATAATACTTATTTTTATAATTGTATGAAATGCTAATTAATTGTCACTTTAAATCTGTGCTTTTCCACTATTTTTTAAACCATTAGGTTTTACTTATTTGCCTGCAATAAGTATTTGAACATGGCATTTTGTATATTTTAATAAGTACAGGTTAAAATTAGTATGTTAATTGTCTTTCTGTCTTGATATTGAAAGAAATCATGTTCTTATAACATTTCTGTAATGTGACTGTGAGAATGTTCTTACTTTGGTTTTATGAAACATTGTGAAAATGTTTTCTAAGAGAACATTGTTTCATCTGATGCCATTGCAATACTCTTTAAATGTTTTAAAAATGTTGCAGATAAAATGTGCTAGC